TCCACCTGGGCAAATGGACACACTTTTTATACAGACACCGGCAGATGGGACACGAACGAACGGAGTGTATCATCGATTACGACAGCAGGCTTGGAGGTAAAGGGCATCCCACAGGCCAGAGAGGACCAGCCACGACGCAGCAGAGAAGTGTTTTCTGTGTGCAGTCTGAAAGAAGACTATCATATGGAGAACAGGACATGTCAAGGGGAAGGGATGCTGACACACAGGATATAAAGCAAGTAAAGATTAAATAAATAAAGGCAAACCCGAGAACAGACAGTACTGCTTCCCGGAGGATCCGCAGTGCTGCTTGTTCTTGTCCCAGTGACCAGTTTGAGCTGGATCTGCACACTGCGCCCATTCAGGCCAGCGCGATTGGTTCTCCTGCTCTCCGGTCGCGCCTCCTAATTACTCAGCATCACTAATTAGATTTTTACACCGAATGATTACGGCTCATTGTTCCCCTGCATATAATGAATCACAAGACTGCCGTTATAAATAGAACATATTCTTAATTACTGATCGGCCACAGGATCTGGGCTGGAAAGAAGAGCGGAATTTGTGTGACCTTCCACGGCCTGAATGTGTCAGCTTAGGAAAGGGCAGGGAGAAGGGCTGGGGGGCCGGCCCCCCTTAACCGATAGAGGCCAAGGGAACAAACATGCAATGAGGCAAATGGTAAAACACAGTCCAGTTCCATGTAGTGAAAATCAGTATCCACTCTATATCAAAATATCAAAAGACCAGTGAATTTCTATAGACATCATTGGTGATTAGTAGCCAGTCATGGGAAAACAAGCTATTTAAAAATGGAAAACCAGTGAAAACTTAAATTGGTAACTATGGGAAATATTCCTTGTTCACTCTAAGGCATAGGAACTTCTAGAGCTGTTAATGTATAAATTGTGAGAAACTCACAATATCTGGTGATATTGTTTTGTCTAATAACCAGGACAGGATTGGTAAATTAGATGTTTTAGAACCACTTGACAGTAGCGATCATAACATGGTTAAATTTGAGGTTAAGTTTAGTGCCCGAAGAGCAAAGTCCAAATCAAAAATATATAATGTTAGGAAGGCTAACTTCAATTGTATGAGATTAAAACTAGAAACCGTGAACTGGATGGAGTTAAATAACAAAACTGTTGAAGAGGCATGGGAATTTAAATGGAAAAGCACATTATTGCAAGTGCAAGAGGAC